CCAAACCATTCATGATTTTATAAATCTCTGTCAGATCCCCCCTTAGTTGTCTCTTCCAGACTAATCAGTACTGTTCATTTGTAATGGGACTCTCATGAATCAGTTCCATATATCTATTCATTTTTGTTGTCTATGTATAGACAACAAACTTTGCCAGTTCTAATATATCTTTTTTTTTAAAGATGAGGCAACCAGAACAACATTCAGGGAGTGGGCGGACTATGGATTTAAGTAGTGACATGATATGATGATTAAAGGAAGTGTTTTACTCCCGCAAACAGCTGAGTAAAGGCTGTGACAATCTAGCCCTCTATGAGTACTAAATATTATTTAAAATTCCATTCATGATTTTTTAAAATCAATCTTAATCTTTTTAAAGGTTCCTGAATTCCAAGGCATCACTCATTTTAGAACCACAGTTCCCTATAGACCCATTCACATTAAAGGAAGAAATCACACAGCATTTTAAGTTCCCTGCATGAATAATTTCTCTCTCTCATTCTAGGTCTTTGTTATCCCTTGATAGTACCCCAACTTTTGGCTTTGATAAATCAGCTAGAACTGTTCAAAAAAGTTCAAAATGTCAACAATTTTTTATGGGAGTGTTGCCTACGGAACAAACAATGTGAGACCATCTCTTGAACTAATCTAATTTAAATTGTTTCAGTGTAAATATAATTTGAGAGAATGAAGGCCTGATTCTGCAAGGAGCTCAGTTAGGTGTTATCCATACAGCAACGTTACTTCTAAATAACTAGTGTTATTTTGAAATAACTTGGTCCGCATTTACATAACAGGCACTTATTTTGAAATAATGTCAAAATACTGTCAAGCTGGAGGACTTCTTACTCCCTCTCTTGTAACCCTCATTGTATGAGGAGTAAGGGTAGTTAGAGGAAGAGTGCATTACTTCAAAATAAGTAATGTGTAGATGCTCCCAATTTCAAAATAAACAATTTTGAAATAAGCTACGCAACTGACGTAGTTCAATTTGCGTACCTTATTTTGAGTTAAGCTCTGCTGTGTAGACGTACCCTTTGGCTGTGTCTACATTGGCACCCTTTTCCGGAAAAGGGATGCTAATGAGACACTTCGGAATCGCAAATGCCGCGGGGGATTTAAATATCCCCCGCGGCATTTGCATGAACATGGCTGCCGCTTTTTTCCGGCTCGAGGCTTTGCCGGAGAAAAGCGCCAGTCTAGACGGGATCTTTCGGAAAATAAAGCCTTTTCCGGAAGATCCCTTATTCCTGATTTTAAGAGGAATAAGGGATCTTCCGGAAAAGGCTTTATTTTCCGAAAGATCCCGTCTAGACTGGCACTTTTCTCCGGCAAAGCCCCGAGCCGGAAAAAAGCGGCAGCCATGTTCATGCAAATGCCACGGGGGATATTTAAATCCCCCGCGGCATTTGCGATTCCGAAGTGTCTCATTAGCATCCCTTTTCCGGAAAAGGGTGCCAATGTAGACACAGCCTTAGTGTTCAAAAAGCAGAAGCTTCAGAGGGATAGCCAAGTTAGTCTGTAACTGGAAAAATTTTAAAAACAACTAATAGTCTAGCAGCACCTTAAAGACTAACTAAACATAGAATCATAGAAGACTAGTACTGGAAGGGACCTCAAGAGGTCATTGAGTCCAGCCCTCTGCCCTCATGGCAGGACACATACCGTTTAGACCATCCCTGATAGATGTCTATCTAATCTGCTTTTAAATATCTCCAGAGATAGAGATTTCCCAATCTCCCTAGGCAATTTATTCCAGTGTTTAACCACTCTGACAGTTAGGAAGTTTTTCTTAATGTCCAACCTAAACCTCACTTGCTACAGTTTAAGGCCTATTGCTTCTTGTCCTATCATCAGAGGCCAAGCAGAACAATTTTTCTCCCGTCTTCTTGTGACACCCTTTTAGATACCTGAAAACCAATATCTTGTCCTTTCTCAGTCTTCTCCTTTCCAAACTAAACAAGCCCAATTCTTTCAGTCTTCCTTCAAAGGTCATGCTCATTAGACCTTTAATCATTCTTGTTGTTCTTCTTTGGACCTTCTCTAATTTCTCCACATCTTTCCTGAAATGTGGTGCCCAGGACTGGACACAATACTCCAACTGAGGCCTAATTAGCGCAGAGTAGAGTGGAAGAATGACTTCTTGCGTCTTGCTCACAACATTCCTGTTAATGAATCTCAGAATTATGTTTGCTTTTTTTGCAACAGAGTCACACTGTTGGCTCATATTTAGCTTGTGGTCCACTATGACTCCTAGATCCCTTTCTGCAGTACTCCTTCCAAGACATTCACTCCCCATTCTGTATGCGTGAAATGGATTGTTCCTTCCTAAGTGAAGTACTTTGCATTTGTCTTTATTAATCTTCTCACTGATACCAACATGTAGACCAGGGGTCTCCAACCTTTTTAAGCACACACTTTTTGAATTTAAGTGCAATTAGGGTTGCCAGATGGTTGAAACAAAAATACGGCCCCCTCCCCCCAAAAAAACCACTGTTGAAGGGGGGAAAAAAGCAGGGGGACTGGATCAAAGTTGTTGAGCCAAAAAAAAAAAAAAAAAAAAAGGACTCCAAGGACTTATTAAGCAAAATAAATAAATAAATAAATAAATAAATAAAACAGCATGTCCCCTTTAGGAGTGAGTGCAGGGATAGGAACAGGGGAGCCATTGAGCACTAAGACCCAGGGGGAGTGTTGCTTCCCCTAGGTCTTTTGGCCAGCAGCCATTTTGTGCCGGCAGCCTTGGGCGCTGGGGTCAGGGGGTGTTGGGGGCCAGAGGAGGTTTGGTGGGGAGGACGGGCACTGAGTGTTTGTAGGGTTGCCAGGTGCCTGGCATTTTCACCTCCTGGCCGGGGAAAAATTCAGAAAATACCGGACATCTCAGGTGTCCGGTATTCTCTGAATTTTTTTACCAACAGAAGGCGAAAATACCGGACTGTCCGGGTGAATACCGGACACCTGGCAACCCTAAGTGCAATGTAAGATCTACCTCAAGCCCAAATACCCTGGCCCCTTCTCTGAGGCCCTGCCCCTGCTTACTCCATCCTCCCTCCCCCATTCTCCCTCCCTTTCACCAGGCAGGGGCAGAGGGTTGGGGCACAGGCTCTGGTTTTGGGCTAAGGGATTTGGAGCATGAGGGGGCTCTGAGCTCAGCCTGGGTAGGGAGTTGAGGTACAGGAGGGGGTTCAGGGTGCAGGCTCCGTAAGGGAGTTTGGGTCTGGGGGGGGGGGGGCTCAGGGCTAGGGCAGGGACTTGGAGAGTGGAGGGGGGTACATGACTGAGCAGGGGTTTGGAGCTGGCTCCAGCTGGGCACTGCTTACCTCAGGTGGCTCCTGGGTGGAGGTGCAGTGGGGCTAAGGCAGGCTCACCCCTGTCTTGGCCCCGCACCACTCTCAAAAGCAGCCAGCAAACTCCCTCCATCCCTAGGCCTGTTATCCCTCTCTCCCCATTCTGTGGAAATAGAATATAGGGTGGAAGAGGGGGCACCCTGACATCAGTACCCCTCCTCTCCCTTCCCTGCTCTGAATCGCAAACAGGAGGCTTCCCAGGGTGTATCTCCAAGGCAAAGGGCTGGAGGTGCACCGCAATGGTGGGAGGGGCAGCTGAAGTGCTGTGCTTGATAGCCTCTTGGCCAAACCAGTCAAGATCACCTGTTAGAGGCTTCAAGATCTACTGGTTGGTGACCACTGATGTAGATAGTATCATGAGCTTTAAGGTGCTGCTAGACCAGGGCTATTCAACTTAGGAAGCTCAGAGGGCCACGATGATACTCACAGCACAATGTCAAGGGCTGCAACTTAAGTGTGGTTGCGTATACATGCAACTGTATATGCAAATAGATTATTTTACACTGAGGGGGCATGAATACAAAGATTAAGGCAAGACTACACAACACAGAGGCCCCATTTAAGTCAGTTCTGCGAATATTAATAAAATGCAATATTCCACCCATATGACAGTGCAGGAATTTAACTAGGAAAACGCATCTCAACAGAAGACCATCCTATGGACTCCTTTTTTGTTTTGGCTCCCACTTCTGGGCCACGCGTGGAGCCCCAGATAAACCCAAAGTGCACCACGTGTGGAGTAGCCCTGTGCTAGACTATTCGTTGTTTCTAAAGTTTTTCCAAAAAGCAGGAGCCAGGCCTGACCGAACTAAGGTTACACTTTTTAAAAAGCTCTTTCTTTTTTTTTAAATGAGGAGTTCTTTCTATGTGTCTTCTCGGTTGTTGTTTCTTTAAGCCTAAACGAGTCACACTTTCCAGATTTTCCGGGCAGCTGCAAACGTGCGGTACGTTCGGAGCCAAAGCTGAAAGTCTCCCTAGGGCAGGCATGTCCAAAGTCCGGCCCGCGGGCCAATTGCGGCCCGTGTTCCGGTTTAATACGGCCCCACAGGTAATTTGGCAATATCTATCTTTTATGGCCCCCAACGAATCCATATGTATTGAGATGAATACATTGTAAAATCTCCGTTAATGTCAGTTGGTCTAAATCAGTTATAAATATATTTGGACACAACATATATACTTGGTGTTATGTTCCTGTTCATATTTTTTGAACTTAAAAGTTGACAGACAACCTTTATTACCAATAATATGTAATGTACTTTACAATGTTCCTGACATATATTTCAGCTTCCTGGATTTTTTTTTCATCTGGCCTTCAGATATGAAAGGCAGAGTGATTTAACACCTGTTTAGATTTGTCATCCATGTGAGGAAATGAAAAGTATGCTGTTTGCAATAAACTTTGCATAAAATAGTTAATTTGCATTTAATTTTAATGGTTCAAAGAACGTCAGGCAAAATGGTCGGCCCTCACGCTTGTTCACTTCATCAAATCTGGCCCTCTTGGAAAAAAGTTTGGACACCCCTGCCCTAGGGCAACAGGGCGCCAGGAGCTGGGGGCTTTGCACCTCTCAGCCGCGGGAGCCGACGCTGGGCGCAGTGGCGGCTGGAGCCGCAGAGAGGCGGCAGAGCCCCGTGCCTGGCGCTCCCCGGGCTAACTCCGGAAGCCGGGCTGGGGCTGCCGAGTCGCGCCGGGGCCCCGCGCTGCAGCGCCCGCCATGGCCGAGAGGATCGAGCAGCGCATCGAGGGCCGCCTCCCGGAGCTAGAGCAGCTGGAGCGGGTCGGGCTCTTCACGCGCAAGGAGATCAAGTGAGCGGGGGGGCCGCAGGGAGCCGGGAGGGGGCAGCGATTTGGCTTCGTGGAGCTTAAGGCCAGAAGAGTTTTGGAGCCGCGCGTGTGTCCTAAGCCTCGCTGGGCTTTGCCGCCGGGATGCACACCCGGCCTGGGCCCCAGGGGACAGCTCCGTGCCCTTGTCGGTTCCTAGCCAAGCCCCCTTGGCTAGGGCAGGGATGGGAATGGATGGGGTGGCTCCCAGCAGACCCCAGGCTGCAGAAGAAGGAAACTCTTCCTCCTCTCCCTCCGTTCCTTGCCATCCTCCAACCTGGGGATCAGTTGGACCCTGAGCATGTGAGCGGTACACAGCAGCTGAGCATGGGATGCGGGGGAGGGGGGGCAATGATTTTTAATGGGGGGGGCACTCCAAGTTTTTGGTAAGTGGTTAAGGGCCACACTTTTCTATGGCGAACCCATGACTCCGTCCTTCCCAGGCGACTGGCCTATCCCCTAGGCCACGCGGGAACCCACCCCACCACCTTACCGTCAGGGCGCCCCTTATCCCTCCAGCCCCGGGCCGATCGGTTCGACCCGACCCGGGACTAGAACCCACGACCCCATCCCAGGGTCTGGGACAGAGGTGGGTGCAGAAAGGGTAGGGGATTGGGGTGCAGGAGAAGGTGGGGGTCTTAGAGGGAGCTTGGGGGAAGGAAGCGGTTTGTAGTGTGCGACTCTTCCCCCTAACTCCCAGAGGCAGATGGAGTAGCTAGTTGCTCTGAGCCCTGGGGCTGCTCCCTGCCTCTGGGTCCAGTGGTGGGAGCCATGCCTTGGATTGAAAGGCTTGGTGGGCTGAATCCAGCCCCTGGGCTGCATCTTGCCCAGGCCTAGGATACAGGTTTCTCTGTTGCATCTCAGCGCATTGCCATCTTGGATTTGATCTTTTAGCGAACACGCAGACAATCCGTTCTCTGCTGTGGCCATCCTGAGGTGCTTCTGAGGAAGATTGACTGTTCCCTGTCCCCAAGTGCAAACACACGTGACCAGTTACGCATTGGAGGGGGGCGGGGAAATCCTTCCTGACTCCTCTAGGCATGGTCTGAAGACCAGAAGCACAAGATTGGAGAACAGTCATTTTCTGAACTGTGGATCTACAAGTGCTAGGAGTATGTTGAGAGAAATACAAGCAAACCTATTTTCTCCCATGTCCCATGCACTGGCATCGTGAGGGTATGATGTGCCCAGGCCAAAGGCAAAACTGCGCTGAACTGTGCAGCAGGGGCAACAGTAGCTCCTGAGCCAGGGGCACTGGGCTCCCAGGCAGGCTTTTGAAGTGCCCGCTTCTGCCGCCCGGCCCTGCCTCCAAGGCTTATCTGCAGGGAGCAAGTGGCCTGGCAGCTAAATGGCCCCCTCCCCAGCATGGTGCCCAGGGGCAACTGACCCCTCTTACTACATCACTGATCCCATGAAGGATAGGGGTGAGCAGGAAGATCCATAGAACCCCCTCCCGCCTAGCAGCAAAACTTGTTGAGCAAAAAAAAGAGGCACTGACCGGTGCTAAAAGGCAAAAATAGCAGCAAAACTTAAGGGAGAAGGAGTTGATCGGGGACGGAGGGGGGTCTGGATCGCCTCGCACCCCCCCCCCCCAGGAATTTCTTCACCCCCCTCCCAGTTTGGGAACCCATGCTGTAGAGCTTCCCCCAGACTGGACTTGAGCCCGAGCAATTAGGGGCCTAAGGGTGAGAGCCCAAGTTTTTTTAAGGCGAGAGAGTTTGAGCCTGGGTTATGGGGTGGGAACCCAGTTTACTGGGTATCTGAGACAACAGCCATATTATTGGAGTAGAGGCTGAGCTAGAAACAAGGTTATTGGGCTCAGACTGAGACCAGGTTATTGGGGCTGTGGATATTGGGGAAAAGGGCTGAGCCAGGGTTATGAATGTGAGTGGGGGCTGGACCACATTGAAGCTCAGACCTCAGTTTATTGAGGAAGGAGGGGTAGAACCCTGGTGGTGGGATGCAGAAGCTGGACTACAGGTCACTGGGGAAGAGCTGAGCCAGTAGTATCTGGGTGTGTGAGGTGGCAGAGGCTTGGGCTGAATTCAGTTCAGGTTATCGGAGGGTGGGCAAAGACCCATTTCAATTCTGGGGCCGGAAGTAGAGCTGCAAGCACATGTTGTGGGGGGTGTTGAGCAGAGGAGAGGTTTTGGTCAGGGGGAGGAATAGTAAGCACCAATTTAGCAACTAAACTGAAAAATCCAAGGGATGTAGCAATCATTTTCCAGAACAGTGATAGCAGCTTAGTAATGGAGTTTTTTGGCTTTATTTTCATTTTCTTGGGGTCTGAAGAAGCAGTGTGGGGACTGGAAATCTACCTTGTGTCTAATTGGGTGTGTGTGTGTGGGGGGGGGGGAGTGTTGGAACCATTCAGGGGAAATGTGCTCGGATAGAGTAATATGGGATACGTTCCAAGAACCCAAGCTCCAAAGAGGCTCAGTGCCTTCAGGATGTCACAATGGGAAGAGAGAGAATTTAAGAATGTGTAGACCGGAGCCTGTGCCTGCATCACAGTTTGACACACAATTGCTTGGTCATCCTTTGACTCTTGCCAGGTAGAAAAGGAATGTTAATAAAATGGAACTCAAAACCTGCCCTGTAGAAAATGCCCATACTGCTGTACACTACAACATCAGTTTTTTGGGATTAAGAGCCATTAAAAGATGCCTAAAAAATGGAATTCTTGCGTTTCTCCAGGGCAGTCATAAAGAAGGCCTCCGCTCTAGAATACAAAATTCAGAGGAGAGCGCTCCACAAGGAAGACTTTATCAATTACATCCAGGTATGTTTTAGTTAGGGCCCAGGGTATTGGCTTGGCCGGGCCTTTTAGTAACACATTCCATGAGAGAACATGTACTGGTGCTGGGCTTCTCAGACTTCATTGTACTGCAGTCCCCTTCTGATAACAATAATGACATGGCCCTAGGAGAGCTTGAGCCTGCCCGAGCCCCTCTTTCCCAGGCAGAGATGCGGTGGCTAGCAAAGCCCCAGAGCTTCAGCCCTAGGTAGGAGTCTATATATAATCAGAGCCCTGCTGCCCAGGGGTGTGGAGTTCAGCCCTGGGTCCCAACAAGCCTAAGTCATCCCTGGCAATCCACTTTAGAGTCCTGATCCCCAAGATGAGAACTGATGTACTAGTAGTTAAAGCACAGGGCTGGGAGCCAGATGGTCTAGTTTTCTGTCCCTGACTCTGCCTCAGAGTTGCTTTGTGACCCTGGACAAGGGACTGAATTTTGCTGTGCATCAGCTTCCTTCTTCATTCAGAAATGTTGAGGCTCAGCTAAGACACCCTCCTAAAGGTGCTAGAGAAATGCAGTGTATTATTAATAATAAAGTGTGATCTATTTTGGGCCAGCAGTTAACTTAATTGAACTTGTAAACTACTTTAGGGTGCTTGAGAGTGTCTGAAATGTCACCCTTAGCTAGGGGTGAAACAAAATACAGAACTATGTAGCACTTTAAAGACTAACAAGATGGTTTATTAGATGATGAGCTTTCGTGGGTCTGGCCCATGAAAGCTCATCATCTAATAAACCATCTTGTTAGTCTTTAAAGTGCTACATAGTTCTGTATTTTGTTTCACCCCTAGTATAATCATACTTGAGTGCAGGCAACTTCCATAGCTGGATAACTGACAAATGTTTGGCTCTAACTTGATGGTTACTCTGTCATGGATATATGTTTATTGTCCACCCAATAAGCTATTTAACAGCTATAAAGAGCTTAGCTTGGAGATCTATTTTTTTTCTTTCAATTACTTTTTAATTTTCTCCCCTTCCCCTAGTATGAAATTAATATGTTGGAACTAATCAAGAAAAGAAGATCGGTAAGTTGATGAACTCCTTACAATGCAAAGTAGCATAAATCAAATCTTGACAGTGCAGGAAAATTAACTATTTTTTTTCCCTACCCCTCAGCGCATTGGCTATTCCTTTAAGAAGGATGAGATTGAGTATTCTATTGTGCAGAGAATACACGGGCTGTTCAAGCGTGCCACAGAAAAGTGGAAAGTAAGCATGTTTCCTTCTGTAGGGCCTGGCTGTATTACACAACCTCTTCATGCACCGTGATGTAAGAGAATAAATGCATTCCCAGAAGGGATGGGGCTGGGGACACCCAGCCCTCAGTGCTGCTCGGATTGTGGCGCCCCCACCTAGCCCTGATCGGAGTGTGGTGCTCTTAAAGGGCTCCAATCTCTGAGCTACGGGGCATTTGCACCCCCTCTCCTTCCCACTTTGGCAGGCCTCCTAACAAGTATTTGTGATCATACAGGAGACTATAAAAGAAAAGTTAAATGGAGGTTTGTCGAAATAGCTGCTAGTAGTTTACGGATAATCATCCAATATCTGATTCACAACCTCTTGAAGAGATAATATTCAGCCCAGTGAACAGATCGACTCTATGATCTACTCGGTCTTTCAGCTTTAGTGCCTTATATTGCCATGTGAATTTTCCTGGCAACAGCTGGAAACGAAGTCGTTTCAGAGGAAGGGATTGCCTTGAGTCACCTGGGAGTAATGAGGAGTAATGATGAGTTATGTATGTTGCAGGAAGATGATGGGGAAAGAGGAGACTGTATTTTGGAATTGAGGGATGGGCTCTTGGAGGCATCTTTGCAGGGATGCAGCGGTTTGTATTTATGGGTGGAAGGTGTGAAGGAAGGTAGGACCCCAAGCAGAAAAATCACTTCCAGCTACATGCTCTACTACAGTCATAACAAATATATGCTCTATACTATTCAAAATGCACAGCCAATTGTAAAGGTGTATTACTGCCATGTTTTCTCCAGTTAACCCTGGCTTCTTGCCTTTCCAATAGGATGACATTCAGCTCTGGTTGTCACATGTGGCTTTTTGCAAGAAATGGGTGAGTATTCAAAATGTTACTTTTCTGTAATTTTACAGAAGTCACATCTTCAGTGCCGAATAGATCTGAGGAATGTCATTCCCAAAAGGCATTTTTTTTTAATGGGGCGGGAAGTCACTAAAAAACAATCAGGTTGGAATGGAAATGCCTTTTTCAACATGACTGTAAGGTAGCTCTCGATCTATAATGCATCTTTGTTGCAAAATATTTCAATTCAGTGCTAAAATGTTCACAACTGGTAAAGCTCAAGGAGTTCTCTTGTCTTTACAGAATAAAAAAAACCAGCTTAGCAAGGTATTTTCTGCTATGCTAGCCATTCATCCGAATAAGCCAGGTACAGTAAAGTGCTTTTTAGTGTCTTGTGTTCAAATCAGCCAGTTTGATTCTTTTAGAAGAACATATAATATGTTAGCATGACAAACTAGTCAATCCAAGCTACTGCTCTTTGAGATCCCCATTCAACTCTTTAACAATCCCTCCCTTGCATTTTCCATCTTGACGCTCCACTGAAGGGAATGTCACTGCAGTGAGAGGGTGGTGAAAGGAAGGGTTATGCTAGCATGCCAGGAAAAACAGTGTCTCTCAGAATTCTCTGGGCTCAAAGGCCCTTTTCCTAAGGAGCGTGTGGCACTAAACAAATGTCACTGAAATAGAAATCTTCCTCTGTGTGCTGGGCTTAATGCCATGTTAGTACTTCCTTGGCTGTACCTTCCAGAATTGCCCTCTTTTCCCCATTAGTCTTGTAGCAAAGCCTATAACAGATCCATTTCTTTGTTCCATTGCAGCATTGTGGATTATGGCTGCCAAGTGGGAGATGGAGGAACGCTTTTCGTCCGAAAGTGCCAGGCACTTGTTCCTTCGTGCCTTGCGCTTCCATCCAGAGTCTCCAAAACTGTATCAAGAGGTGAGTTTATGATTCTGCCTCTGAGTATAGTTGTGTGTGCTTGGAACGCTCTTGCAAAAATTAGTTTCCCAATGGTTATTGGTTTTGAGCTTAAATTGGTAATATTTCGCAACCGTTCTGCAAGAGTGGTTTTCAATTACAGGTTGAACCTCTCTAGTCTGGCACCCTGGGGACCTGACTGCTGCCGAACCAGAGAATTTACCAAACAATAGGAGGTCAATATTGTCTAGCAGCATTACCAGCACTTCCACTGCTTACTGGGCTCTTAGAAAACATTTTGGGGTAAATTAGAGATAAATAAGAGCACAAAACACTGAGAGCCAGGACTGGTGGTTATAAACAAACTTTGTGGGACCACAAGAAACTTGGCCATACCCATAAGTGGACATCTGGTTAACTAAATCATGCCAGACCATGGATGTTGTCGGACTAAAGAGTGCCAGACTAGAGAGGTTCAAACTGTAATTAGAGTAAAATTCTAACACCTAGAATTAAGAGAAATTTTGACCTTATCTTAAACACTTATTTCTAGGCATTGAGAGTTCTACAGGCAAAAACTGCTCTGCATTAGAGGTTGGCATCCAAACTCTGCTGGGGGAGTTGTTGTATCTTACCCAGTTAAGTGTAAATAGCCACATTACAGTCAGATTTGCTTTCGCCTCTTTTGTCCAGTCCTCTCGTGTGCTCTAGTAAAACCTAGTTGTCAAGGAGTTTTTCACTGCTGTAACTCCATTGACTTCAGCTGAGTTGCTTTCAACTTACTACAGGCTAAATGAGAACAGAATTTGACCTTTATTTCTGGTTTCCATATCATTAGCTACTGGGGTAAAGCATAATGGTTGAGAAAACAAGAGTTATAGACTCATAGACTCATAGACTCCAAGGTCAGAAGGGACCACTATGATCATCTAGTCTGACCCCCTGCACAGTGCAGGCCACAAAATCTCACCCACCCCTCCTAGAATAATCCTCTCACCTATATCTCAGATATTGACGCCTTCAAATACTTTGAAGACCCCAAGATGCAGAGATCCTCTAGCTGTGATCTGTACCCCATGCTACAGAGGAAGGCGAAAAACCTCCAGGGCCTCTGCCAATCTACCCTGGAGGAAAATTCCTTCCCGACCCCAAATATGGCGATCAGCTAAACCCTGAGCATGTGGGCAAGACTCATCAGCTAGACACCCAGAAAGTTCTCTATAGTAACTCCTATCATCCCTCCATTGACCTATTTCCCACTGATAATGAATGGTCAATTAGATACCAATATCCTGTTATCTCATCAAACCATCCCCTTCATAAACCCATCTAGTTTAATCTTGAAACCAGATAGATCTTTTGCCCCCACTACTTCCCTTGGAAGGCCGTTCCAGAACTTCACTCCTCTAATGGTTAGAAACCTTCGTCTAATCTCAAGTTGAGGAATGGCTTTTGCAGAGAGCGAGTTTAGAAGTCAGTGAAGGTCCCTACTTGGTAAATGTGAATTCCAGGGAGTGTTAGAACAGCTTTGTAATTACATTACTATAAGCATAGGAGGCTGCATTCCTACACTGGTGAAATTCAAATCAATGGGAGTCTTGACTAAGTGTAGATTGGAGTATCCCAACTTACTTTTTGTTTGTATTATAATAGCTGCCACTGTGTTGTAAGTGAACTATCACTGGCACAAGCAACCAACACAGAGTACAAAACAAATCTGAGTGGCTTACAGGGTGTGCTCATGAAGCCTTTGGCAAAGATTAATGCTGATTGCTGTAATAGGAGATACTCTTTCTAAAAAGGAAAAAGGCTGGTGGTCTGTCATCTGATTTCAGTGTATGTATATTTAATTGGACCTAAGGCCAATGATCCCTTGCTCAAGTGCATGCTTCATAATCTACATTGTCGTACCTCGGTGTTTTCGTACCTCGGTACCTTCGGTGGTCTGGACTGTCAGTGTCAGCGTCGTCTGGTCAGGGTTGTCCTGGCGTGCTCCTGACAGGACCTCTACTCCGTTGTTAAACTTTCGGCTGCGTGCATAACAATCGGTACTCCCTTTATCTAGAGTGTTAGACCC